TGAGCGCTGGGTTACAAAGCTGCCTGCAGCACGGGTTCGATCCCTGGCCGCCGGGCAAGTGTCCCACATGGCACGCAGACCTCTCCTGCCACCCGCTGCTCCCCTCAGCAGTGTATCCTCAGTCTGCCTGCTCTGCTCTCCCTTCTGGCTCTGGTGAATTCTCTCACCTTCCCGCACTTCTGACTGTACCCAGTGCTTGTATAAATAAATAAATAAATCTTAAAAAAAAAAAAAAAAAAACTCCAATAGAATGGAGTCCAATAGAATGGATTAGAGAAATAGGCCAAATAGGCCCTATTGATAAGCAGGCTGCGGCCATTTAAGCACCAATTCCAAGGTGCTCAGATTGTGGATGAGAATTTGGGGAGTGGGTAGGTGCTCAGTGGGCGGACTCCTGTATTTCATGGACTTCCTGTCCCATAGGACAGCTGAGGCACAGTCAGTGCAGGGGCTCAGAAACAGCACCCCAGCCTGCTGGAGGGACCAGACGGAGCAGGTAGCAGAAAGAGACAGAGCTGCAAACTCTATGCAGAGCATGCCCATGTTAGCGCTGGTCAAAGGGTCTTTTTTCCTTTTTTTTTACATTTTATTTTATTGATTTATTAAGTTATATCTATTTTCTTATATTGTTGTTCATTTTTAGACAGTGTTTGATTTCTCCCCTCAGGCGTAGTCCCTGTAATTCTCCCACCACCACAGCACCCCTGATCAGTCACCCTAGTCCCTTGTGCTCTTCCCTCCCCTGCTTTGACCTCCCTCGCTCCCCCTTCCCTGCTGGATGCCTCTGTGGTCCACTCGCTGAGTTTTGTCTTTTAAAAGGACAGGTTTTTGAGGAAAAGGAGAAGGGAGGGCAGAGAGCTGCTGCTTTTGAAAAGAAAATGTTTGTGAAAATTGTGAAAAGAAATGGCTGCATAGACACAGGCAGACAGCCTTGAGACAGAGCTGCCTCAAAAGGGAAACTTTGATCCATATAGAGATGAAACTTCAACTTTTACCTGCTTATAACCATAATAGCCATGAGACTACAAGAACATATAAACAAGGATGCTAACAAGGAAACAAATAACGGAAATATCATCTCTTCATTGAAAAAAATTATAAAGTTCACTGTCTCCCCTCCATGGCTTGTAGAACTGGGAATGTGGATTCCAGGCCCCACGTGGTGGCTAAGTAGCATTGAGAGGCTGAGTAAGTCACTTTGCATCATTCTGTCTGTTTCCTCAAAGATCAAACAGGGTTATACAATATTTGCCCAGTCTCTCCCTATTTGCAAGAGACTTTTGTTATTATTCAAAAAAAGTATTACTTTGCCACAGGTGAACTTTCCCTTTTAAAGTTGACTTGATTATGCTAAGCAAAGTAAGTCAGAAGGAAAAAGAGAAATACCAGATGGTTTCACTTACATGTGGGGTAAAGAGAAACAAAAAAAAATGTATCAAGAAAAAAAAAAAGACAAAACTTGCAGGCTGACCCCAGATCTGAGGCATCCAGTAGGGGAGCGGGAGGGAAAGGGATCAAAACACTGGAGGAAGAGCTCAAGGGATTATGGATCCTGGGTGCTGTGGTGGTGGTGTTGGGGGGAAAAGGATGTCCTAAAGCTAATTCCATACAGGCTTTGTGGACTCCACCCCCACCCCAGACCAAAGCCATCAAGACACTGGGAACTCCAAATCCCATCCCCACCAAAGGGAAGGTGGCTGGGACCTGAGGGTGGGGTTAAGCAGCCAAGTTGGTATAAAGCCAGACACGTGGGCTTTGGGGGTTCCCCCATTTTGGCTCCCTGCCAGCTCGCCTGCTGGCCAGCTCGGAGAATGACTTTGGGTTTCCAGGTCAGCGGATCGGGTAGGACGCATTAAAGACTTTATTTCCCTATTTTCTCCCTGAGTTGTACATTTTCCTTATTTCCTTTTCCCTTGTAAAAAAAAACCTTTTATAACCTTTTGTGTGTGCCTGTAGTGGAGTATTCATAAGTCCCTTGTAAGCGCGCGGGTGAGGACCCACAGCCAGGCAACCCGCTCAATATCGGGGCTGCCCTATAACAGCAGGCGGACTACAGGGACTACAGTGGAGGAGAGAAATTAAATAGTATCCAAAAAATTAACTAAGCTGTAAGAAAATAAATACACACACACACACACACACACACACTACATAAAGTAAAGCTGGTTTGGCTGGCTCAACATAACCTTCACTAAAATGGTCAATTGCCTCCTACCAGACAAGCATCCAGGCAAGGAGGACTGTGAGGCAAGACAGACCAACCTTTAAGGGAGGGCAGCGAGCCTTTCCAAGCACCTGTCTGTGGGAACCAGGATGAGGTGTGTAGAGCACCTGAAAAGCAATTCCCAGACATCACTAGCAGGTGGTCGTTTGCATAAAAGACCTTTATCATTTATGTTTCTCTTAGCTGCTAGGGACAAAAGGAGGCAGGCAAGGGGCAGATTCCAAGCACTCACTCATTTTATTTATTTTCTTGTATCTTTCTATGCTGTGCTGTGCTGGCCACAGAGAACTTGGCAGTAGATGAGAGAACTATGTATATGTATTTAGAACCACAGATGGGGGCCTCCCCGGTGGCGCAGCGGTTGAGCGCTGGGTTGTGAAGCTGCCCGCAGCCTCTGTATCGCCGATTCGATCCCCGGCTGCTCCCCGGCCACCGGAGGAGGGTCCCACATGGCGGGCAGACCTCTCCTGCTGCCCGCTGCTCCCCTCAGCAGTGTACTTCGGTCCTTCTGCCTGTTCTGCTTCCCGCTCTGGCTCTGGTGAATTCTCTCACCCTCCCGCGCTTCTGACTATACCCAGTGCTTGCATAAATAAATCTTAAGAAAAAAAAAAAATAGAACCACAAATGGGTCCTTTACAGAACCTGTGTCCACACAGGTACACGTGGTGTGGCACTAATGACCATCATTACTAAGAGTCTAAGAGTGCCAAAACTTACAGACTTGGTTCAGCACCCCTCAAAATCCCTGCTGCCTATTTTGAAACACTAGACTAGCTGATTTGAAAATGTATATGGAAAAGCAAAGCTTCTACTCAAGAAATCTTCAAAGTGAATAAAATTGGAAGACTTACATTACCTGTACGAAGACTTACTATAAACTGCATAATCAGAACGGCATGGTTAGGCGGAGAGACAAATAGAGATCGATAGAATGGAACAGAATTCAGATTTGTACAACATACAATTAATCGAGTTTCTACAAAAGTACTAATTCAAGTCAATCGGGAAAGGAATGTCTTTTCAATGCAAATTGTTGGGACAACAGGAAATCCGTTTGGGAAAAAAAATGAATCTTGACCCCTATCTGACTTTATTCACAAGATCTATTTGCGATGAATCATGGACCTGACCTTAAAACCCAGAACCATAAAACTTCTTTAAGAAAACAGAAACCATATTTGTGATGTAGGAGTAGGAAAAAATTCTTTGGGCAAAATGCAAAAATGAAAAATTGATACAAATGGATTCATCAGAATTTAAAATTTCTACCTACTTAGAGACACCATTAAGACAATGAATATACAAGCTACAGACCTGGGAAAAATATCTTTGTAGTCACACATCTAACAAAGGATGTATGCAAGCATGTAAAGAACTTTTACAAATCAGTAACAAAAATATAATTTAATCCAATTGCAAAATGGGCAAAAGACTTCAATAGACACTTTACAAAGTAAGATACACAAAAGTCCAATCAGCAGTTTAAAAAGCATTCAGCATAATTAGTCATCAGGGAAATGACTCTCCAAATCACAGGGAAATAAAACTTGATAAGTACCAGAGTGGCTAAAATCAAAGCAATCTGTTTCTGCATAACTTATCATCTCCCAAACATTAGTAACATTAAGTTAATACCTTAAGCAAATACAATCATTTCATTATCTCTCACAGTTTCTTTGGGCCTGGAATTCAGGAAGGAGTTGGCTGGGTGGGGCTGGCTTGGGGGTCTCTCCTGCAGCTGCCATCATTATGGCTAGCTGTGGAAAAGTGGGGACTGCAGCAGCTGGGGAAGCTCTCACTTCACGTAGTCTTAAGGTCTCTCCCTGTAGTCTGGTTTACACTTCCTCACAGCATTGTGGCTCAGGGTACTCAGCCCTCTTCCCAGAAGGCTGAAGTCCTCAGGAACAAGTTTCCCCCTAAAAGGTGACTGCTGCACTACATTTTATGACCTACCCCAAGGAGTCACTGTGTCATTTTCCTCACATACTATTGCTACAAGTGAGTCAACAAACCACCTAGAGCCAAGGGAAGTGGAATTAGACTTTGTCTCTCCCTGTGTGTGTGGCAAGATTCTAGAAGAGCACTTGGGATCAGAGAGATTGTAACCAATTTTGGTAAATACAGTCTGTAGTGGATAAGCCTAGAAACACTGCTGACAGATCATACCAGGCCTTGTAAGCCACACTAAATTCAATATTGATATGGATTGTGATGGGAAACCACCAGAGAGTGTGTCATAGAGTTCATTCTTGCAGCTGTGTGGATAAAGAATGTGTGGGGTTGGAAGCAGAGTTCAAGGGCCAGACAAGGCCGTCAGTCCTAACCTAGTTGAGGACCCCAGGGAGGCAGTGGGGTCAAGGAAGGTCGCCAGGTTTCTGGCTGGCCCGGCTGTTTTGTTTACTGGGATAGAGAAAGATGGAAAGGTTTGTCTGGGATTGTGGAGCTTGAAAGGCCACAGTAGACGTATAAGACTGGAACTAGGACGATGAAAATGTTGGTAAGAATAAACAACATTTTAAAAGGCAGAGGAGTAGGTGAGATACGTGTCAGCCCGAGCATTTAGAATCTCTCCCCACTGTCCCTCCTTGCACCACAGAGCCTACCAACTTCTCAGTCTGAAACATGCGAGCACACACCTGCATGCAAGGGACAAACTTGAGCGGAAGGTTCCTGACCGCGCATGCGCAGAGTGGTCGCCATGGAGACGCGTGACTCCGGCCAGGCTCCGCGCTGGCTTGGCAGCCGCAGTTCCTGATCCCCGACATCTGGCTGTCCCGGGCGCAGGTCGCAGCCCCGCGGGCCGGGCGGATGGACGGCCGCAGCGAGGCCCGGGCGCTAGGGTACAGTGAAGCCGGAGAGGATGAGGACGAGAGCGAGGAGCCGGAGGGCAGCGCTGCGGCCTTGAAGGGGTCCAGACTGCCGCCTATAGCGGGCAGCACCTCCCAGCTGACCCAACGGAAGGTGAAGAAGAAAAAGAAGAAGAAGAGCAAGGGGTCGGGCAAGGGGGACGGTAAGAGGAACAACTAGTGCGGCAGCTTCCACACCTGAGATTCTTCTCTGAGGACACGCGCTCCTCACAGACACCCCTTTACCCGAGATGCCTTGTAGGGGCAGGAATGGACACAGTGCAGGTTTTCTGATCCAGCAGACCGGGTGGGAGGAGAGAGTCCTGGAGACCTCAGTGGCTTTTGCAGGCTTTTATTGGGGTTTACCAGGTACACAGCAGGCAGGGGTACTGGGGGGCGGGGAGGCTGGAAGGCCTCCCAGCCTCAGGCAAGTCTTCACTCGGCTCTCCAGCGTTCTCTGGTGGTCTCTGCTGCTCTGCTCTCTCGGCTTCTCTGCTCTCCTGCTTCTTCTGGCGTCCCCGTGATGCTGCCCTTAAAAAAATCCCAGTCTTAGCCCAGGTGAATCCCATCTACATATGCCCACACCCTACTCCAGATGCCAGGCATCAGGCATGCATTCGGGACCCCAGGGTTCCGTCATCTATCCTAATGGCGGGAGGGCAAAAAAACCTGATACTTTTACCTTACCCTACACCTCTTCAGACAGAAATCTGCCTGTCCCAAACAGAGCCTTCCCCTCCCCACACATGCCATGCACCCCAACGCTAACCTGCAGACCACAATACCTAGAGACCCCTCCCCAGTCAGCAGAGACTTTTTATTACCACAGAGGCCACCAACTTTGCACTATCCTAACCTTACACACAGACCCAAATCTTACAGCGATAACTCAACATCCATGTAGACCCCAACAGCAACTCAACTTTACACAGCTTTACACAGACACACTCTCAATTTCCTGACCCCTCAGCTGAAAGTGGTAATCCTAAACATCTATACCTTCCCCACAGAAGTCCCAAGCCCTCCTACGAGGATCTCATCCTCATGCAGAGACTTGGCCCACCCAAAAGGTACTAAGACCCAAGTGACGGACACAAACATGAACACAATCTCCTCCCTTCTGCCAAGAGGCCCTCCTTACATCATCCTCATTATATTCCAGACATCTGCTTCTGGGTGTTCTGTGGACAATCAATAAATGCATATAAATTGTCCTTCCTTACAGTCATCCTTCCTCACTCCACCAGCCAAGCTCAGTCTTAACTGCACACGCGCCAGCCATCGCCCCGGTCACTGCTACATACATCCTCAGCAACAGCCCCGTATAACCATAACACCACCAAGCAAAACTAAAACACAAACATCCTATCAGGCACTCACATTTATAGTCCATACACACACACACACACACACACACACACACACACTCTGCTACGCACCCACATGTGTAGGCCCCCTCCCAAATAGTTCTTGCGTACACACAACCATTATGCCACAGGTTCTCACTGAGGCTCTCCTTGAGGACATTTCACATACACACAGCAACCCCTGCCACCAACCCACAGAGCCCCTACATCTCACCAACTTCCTTTCTTAGGAGCCCCAATTTCTCAACAAAGCACTAAGTACCCATTTTATGGAGAAAGAGTGCAACCGTGATATACAGTACTCCTGTCTGCATGCTGAAGTCTCCACTGTCACTGTGTGCTTGTCTGTCAGGGAGGTGGCTCTCACTGACCCTGGCACAGCAGCCCTTCCTCTAGGGTGACTATCCTGGGGTCAGTCTCCTGGGCCCTGGGCCCCCATGTGCAGAGCTGGCACCCCTAATACCCTAATAAGCTGAGGCAGAGGGGCAGGAGCCTTCCCATGTCAACCTTGCAGGTGGAATCATCATTTTAAAAGGGCAAAAAGATAAGCCTAGCATTTAGGTCAAAAAGCCTGTGTGTGTCTGCAAAACAACATGGGGAGCTTTATCGTCTTTTTGGCTTAGCTTCTGACTCTAGAAATGGCAGTGGCATGTACCTCATACTGTCAGCAGGGGACACCAAAGTTTTCAGGGAGGAGGAGGTATGAGAAAACGTCGAAAGGGGATTTTGTTTTCTTTTCTCTTTTGGAGAGGGGAATAGTCCCAAGAAATAGAAGGATGAGCTGATGAAAGAACCACAATTTGTATTATTTTATGAACATGTTATGTAATTCAGAAATGCTATTAATAAAAGCAAAAATCAGTACAAGCCACACGGCAGAAATATTTCCTGGCTTGGCATGATACAGCTCCCCGCAGTCAGATGTAGGAAGCCTTCCTTGTTATTCTCCATTCTTCCATCATAAAGCGTCTAGACTAGCGCTAGAGTCATAGACGCATAGCACTGGAAAGGACCTTGTGAGATGTGGAGAGGCGAAGTGGGGGATATAGTGGAAAGAACAAAGTACTGCATGTCAGGCTTGCTTTCAAGTCCTAGCCCTGCCACTGGCCACTTGTGTCGGCAGTTACTGGGACTTTCAGAGTCTCTGTTTCCTCACCTGGAAAATTGGACCAAGAGCTTTCTCCAGGGGCACTGGCTCTTAGTATGTGCTGCATATGTGCTTCCTCTCTTCCCGAAAGCATATAGCCAGCTGGGGGGTATGTGCAAGGCTTGGCGGGAGTAGTCACATGAGTGCTAAAGAAGGAGGGGCCTCTACTCCTTTCTATCTTTGGTGATTTTGGTCCATCCCCAAGTAGGCTGAGGGCAGGAATCATCCCCAAACGCTAACAAGGCTCATCTGCTCAGCAGATAAACATCAGAGCCGAGGCCTGAAGAATCAGCAACTGTCTTCATCCCTTCATGACATCTTAAGTGCCAGCAAAGATCATGACCCAGGGTCAGAGTACAGCCAGGAAAAGGGTGAAAACAAGCTCATCCCTTCTTACTCCTCCCCTGGAAGTCTCACTGACTTGGCCGAAATAGAAGAGAAGCTTTCAAACCAGATCAATGAAAGTCTGCGCTGGGATGGCATCCTGGCTGACCCGGAAGCAGAAAAAGAGAGGATTCGCATATATAAACTGAACCGAAGGAAGCGCTACCAGGTTTTCGCCCTCAAGGGCTTCCATTCTGACCCCTGTGCCAAGGAGACCCCGGAGAACTTACTCTTCCTCTCAGATAAAGACGGCATTATTAACAGCAGGCAGCCCTCATTAAAAGCTGACCACCCCAGTCAATACTTCACCGGAAACCTGACGGCCAAGCCCCTACACTCTGACTTAGCCACCACTCTGCCAGAGTAAAAATCTGCCCACGACACTGACAAGCTCATAATTCATCCTTATCCCAAGTTTATGTGTTTAAAAATAATAATAAAAGGAAATCAGGTCTACTTTTGAAGGAAGCAGATGTCTGGCGTGTGGATGAGGTCAACCTCTCCTTTCACCAAGATGCACTTCATTGCCCAGGAAAGCTACAATTTACGAACATAAGCAACGTATTGAACAAAGTTCTTTCCAGAATTTCCTTTTTCTTAAAGAAGCTGGCATGTCTTATTTAATTTCTCATCACAGATGTCTATAATCTGGCACCCCAAAAGAGAAAGTATAGATTATATCAATTCTAAATCTTTACTTTCAGGGGTAAAACGCCTCACACAGCATGTCTCTATAGGTCCAAGGAAAATACCTCAAATATCCTGGAGGCTTTTTTAAAATATATTCCCTGCCCATATGTGGCCTTTAAACTACATGGATTTCAAAACTTCACCACTGGGAGGTTATTATGAGAAGTCGCAAAAGAAATCTTGCTTCTCTTATAAATATGGTCTTTCCTTATCCCCAAGACAGCATTGTTTTTTAAAGATTTATTTATTTACACAAGAACCGGGGTATAGGCCAGATGCACGGGAGGGTGAGAGGATTCACAGAGATAGAGTGGGGAACAGAACAGGCAGAAGGACCGAAGTACACTGCTGAGGGGAGCAGCGGGTGAGACCGGAGAGGGCTGCACTGCCATGTGGGATTCTTGCTGGCCCGCCAGGATCAAACCCACGCTGCAGAGGCTGCAGACAGCTTCACAGTACGGTGCTCAAACGCCTGCGCCACCAGGGAGGCCCCCAAGACAGCATTTTAAACAGTTCCGGAGCATTAAAAATGTCCAAGTGTACTGCTTGTTCCAAATTAATATTCCTTCCGCAAATATTTATGAGGGAGACATGTTGTCTTACTTCGGGTTCTACCAGTAGCAGACCCTGAGACAAGGATGCACATGCCAGTGAGGCTGTTTCGGAGATGAAAGGAAAAGCAGCCCAGATCAGCACAGAGGATGCAGGGAAGGGAAGAGCCTGTCCAGGCAGCACTTTAGGCAGCTTCCACACTGGGCTCGGCCCATGGGGAAGTACTGTCACAACTGGGGTGTTTATACTCCCTAAAGGCATTTATTTGGTCCAAGGGAGAGGGTGGTCTCTGGGGTAGCTTCAGTCACCTGTGTGCCTCATAGTGCAGGGCTCGAGAGGGAGAGAGCGGAGATTAAGATGAGGCCCCTGACTTCCAAGGAATTAAAATATTTTGGGGTAGGCAAGACATGCAGTGTACATAGAAGTTGGAAGCCTAAATAAAACATCACAGAATGCTTATTTGAAAGTCAAGGGAAAAGTGGTCACCTTGGTCCCGGGAGGCCCCCAGCTGACAGCGCAGCCCTCTTTCCACCATTCCCTAAAAGGCCGGCTATAGAGTTTTCACAGTTTTGCCAGCATACCCTGGCAAGATGGAGTGAAGGAACTTTTGGAAAAGCCCTCCCCTCCCCTAGAGCAGAGTTTAGCAGCCTGGCCTGGCAGGGCCCCTGAAACAGACCAAAATGGCCAGGCTTGTCCAGGTTAAGGGGCATCCAGGGAATTAATCAAAGAAGAATTGGGCTTTGGGCTCAGCTCCATGGACAGGAGGAGATTGGAAACATGCTAATGCTCAGCTAATGCTCTGCCTGAGGTAAAGACGGAAGAGGGTGTCTCAACTGGACTGGCATCTCCAAGGCCCTTTGCATTAACCACAGTGACTGGGTGTGGCGGCGGAAGAATCTGAGGGCACACCAGCCTTAGGATGTCTTGGTGGTTTATCATTGTCTTCCATGGGGGTGGGGGTGGCCCAAGATCACTGTCAGTCATGAGATATTCTAGGATAGTGGTTAAATTTTTGAGTTTTGACATCAGAGCTGAATTTATCTTTCCCAAGACTTACTAGCTGTGTGACCTCAGGCAAATTGCTTAACCTCTCTGAGACTATTTACCACATCTGAAAACAGGAACACAAATACCTACCTCTGTGGTGAGAATCAAATGCAGTGATCACAGCACCGGCCTCCCCCCTACCTGACAGTAGAGCAATCCTAGTGAAACCTTTCCTAAGAGGAAACAACATAAAGCAAAGAGGCAATTACCATTCATATATATGGGGAAAATTTTGAATGTTCCAAGACCCAGAAAACAATCTACCAAAGACAAGAAATACTAAAAATAAAAGAGAGAGAGAGGAAGAAAGATAACAAAATGGAGCAATTTGAGTCTGTGTAAAGACAAATCAGTCAGGAGTCTGTTGAGGGACAGAGTCCCAGGTATGTCCAGGCAGGTGCTACATATTCAGGCAGGCCCAGGCACATCCACCTCAGAGAAGAAACTGAAACACAGTCCACTGACCTGTAACATTTCCTCTCCCAGGACTGAAACAGCCAATCATGCAGATACTTATTGTTCACTTAATTTGCATGTTATTGTACCAATCAGAATTTGACTGACTTCTAATTTGCATAATGGACCTGAATGTGAGCTATCCTGCTTTTCTTTGTTGATAAGCCCTCCCTATCTGTGGACAACTGGAAAATTCCATTCAAGAACTTCTTGGGTCTGTGTCTTCTGGCTGCAGTCCTAAAACCCCAAATAAACGCCTCCTCTTTGCTCCAACTTGACCAGGTTTCAGACCAGGTTAAAACAAATCATACCAAATAATGATTAAAAACTAAACACTAACATGAGTAAAAGCAGGAATGATATAAATGAAATACACAGCCTGTGTAAGGTAGTTCTAGGGAAGGCGCTCAGGCAACACCACTCGTGCTGCTTGGGTGTTCCTCTATAATGATTCACTGGAAAACCAACACTGAACACTGAAACCAACACTTTACACCTTTTGATGTAAAGGTGCAAATCTTTGGACTTTTTTCAGTTATCAAAAGCAGGTGGTAATATAGGCCTTTCATAAAAGCACAGTGGCTTAATGCACACTATAAGGCAGGGAGATACCAGTACCTCAGACCTTCAGCACAGTGCCTGTACCCAGGAAGCGCTCATCTATGGTAAGAGTTTTGATCAGTGATATCTTAGGTTATGGTGGCTACACAGACACTGCAGAAACTGTCTCAGGCAATGGTGTATAACTTCACAAAGAAATCTGGCTTTAGGAGCCTGGCAGGATGGTGGCAAAATGAAGACTCTGGGTTCACCTCCTCAAGACAGGCATAACAATACTCAAGTAAACCGAAGCCAATCCCTTGATGGAAAAACAGATTATCAGCATGTACAATAGAAGTATCAGATTGACTGAAAGGGGTAGGAAAAACTTGCAGTGAACTTTGTTTAAAATAATGGGGAGGAGCACAAGAGGGAGGAGCAACAGCTTTGCAGAACCCTCCAACAGCTACTGACTCAGGTATAAGACAACATCAGGGTTCCTAAGATTTGGCACTGCACTGGATAAGGGCGGGGGGGGAGGGCACGAGTAGGCACCCAGGATGGAGGGTGCATTGCTAAAGAGTGACAGAGGTGGGGGCACAGAGTGAGGATTAATGGCTTGAATCTGAGGCTCATCACACAGCCTGCATCAGGTGAGAACACATGGACCTCCTTATAGAAGAGGCTACTACTGAAGTCCAGGCTGAGATACCTGCCACCCCACTACAAAGAAATGCTTCACAACCGGAAGTTCAAATCCCTGAGTCTACTGGAGTTGGTCCCTTGATGCCTAGTGCCCTGTTCCTCTTATAGATCTACTACCCCTCACCAGTACCAGTCCTTTGGCTATTCCAACAGGTGCAAAAACAACAGTTTACCCCTACTAAACCCCACAAAAAATAAAAAATAAGGAGACAGAAGAATACAGTACGAATGTTAGAATGGCACATATTAAAAAGACCCCTAAGGATAAATGCTGGAGAGGATGCAGAGAAAAATGAACCCTATTATACTACTGGTGGGAATAGGAACTAGTGAAATCTTTATGCAAAGCAATCTGGATTTACCTTAGAAAATTAAAATGGAAATAGTGTACGACCCAGCAATCCCACTCTTGGGTATACAGCCACGGAATATGAAATCATCTATTTAAAAAACCCATATGTTCCACAATAGTCACAAAAGCACTATTAACAATAGCTTGGACATGGAAGCAGCCTAAATCTCTTTCAATGGACAAATGGTATATACACATGATGGAGTATTCTACACCCACAAGAAAGGATCAAGTGAGGTCATTTTCAACAAAATTGGAAGAATTGGAGAGAATTATGTGCAGCAAAGTAAGTCAGAATGATAGGAACAAATATTGGATATTCACATTGCAGAAATTCAACAGCATAAAATATTTTCAAAAACTAATAGACATCAACAAACAGAGCTCCTGAGAGCTCTGAGGTTGAAAGAGAGGGGGGAGAAACAGGAGCAAGGGGTCACAAGGAATGCTGATAGGAAAACATAATGGAAGTATCTGAATACTGAGGGGGAAAATAGAAAGAAACCAGTCTTCCGTGGCTGATCCATAGACGTCATTCATAGATGTAATTCAAACCAACCACAAAACAAATCCCAGGGGTCTGGAACAAGAGAGAATATAGGAGGAATGAAACAAGTGTCTCAAAGACCAATATTCTGGGGAGGGAATTTTGGGTCAAATAGCAAAATGCCTACTTGTGGCCTGGAACCAATGGATGTCTTTGTTTTAGATTATAAATAGAGGAAGCAAGTGGGAATTAATGACCCCACAGCACAGAATTGGCTCCAACTCAAGCCAAGTTGGCTATATCTGTTTGGATCTCTCCAGTGGCAAGGAAGTGGAAACTGGCTTATCGACAAAAGGGAGTAATGGACTCATAAACCTAACGGTCCAGGGTTGACTGTGACTTCAGACATGGCTGGATCTAGGACACCATCCAAATTTGTCTCCATATCTTGCTTCTGCCTCCCCTTTTACTGGTTTCATGTTCAGGCAGTTTCCCATAACAGGACGACAAAATTGACCACTGAAATCCTTCTAGCTCTCTATAAGAAAAGAGTGACTCCTATGTCCTTATACATGTTCATATCAATCCCAGCGAAGGTCTCCAGCCTGGCCCAGGTCAGAGGCTCATCACTGGGCTAATCCCAGCTTCCAAGGAAATGGAGTCATTGACTGCTGCACAGACCTAGGGTATGATGAGCAAAGGGGGAGAGCAAGAGCATATGAACCCTCTAGATACATGCACTGGACAGATCATTTTAGAATTCATATAAATCCTTTATAGAATACAGTGAATCCCTGAAGAAATGTCAAGTAGAGATTTCCCATTACTCTCTAGATGAAGAACGATTCATTTTTAAAAGCCCCTGACCAAAGGTCATGGGGATTGATTGCAAAATGAGTCAGTCTCAGTTGGCCTGGATCCACTGCACACTTATCTCTAGAACTACTGGTCTTGGCCAATACTACGGGATCCATTAACTAAAGAAGAACCATGTAACCATGTGTCCTTGAGTTGTTTGAGAGCAGAATGTGTCCATCAATCAGCACTGTTTAGTAAGAATAATCGCATTTATGATTTGTACCTGGTATTGGTAGAGCCTAGGGGTGATTTTCAGTCTGGACACAGAGTTAGCATGTGCCTGCATGGTGAGTTCATCAAAGATACTCCTACCATAGGCACGGTAGACTTTGGACTTTTCCACACCAGTAGTCCTTGGAGACTGGGGAACAAAGTGCTCCCGTGTGAGCCCTGTGAATGTCCGCTGTGGGCACTCCGGGAGGACAAATTCCAGGGATATAAAGACTTTCGTGTGGGTTGGGGTGGTAGACGTTCCCCAGTGATCTGGGCCTCCTGGTGTGTCCACATCCTTCCCCGGAAAAGCGCTGAAGTTAAAGTGATGGGATGTCAATTCTGACATGGGGTTACAAAAAGAGACTGTGTTCTGGAGTAAGAAAGAAGGGTGAGTGGATGGAGCATCGGTGAAGGAATGGCAGAAAGGACTCCTGGGGCAAAGATCCTGGAGAGATGGAGATCTCCATCAGCTGACCAGAGATCTCAGGTCTTTAACCAACATCCTTAAAAATGTGCAGGCTACCATATTGGCTTGCAGATAGCATAAAGTGTGACTCACCATGGTTTCTGACCCTGGTGTAAGGGATAGACAAGCCATTTAACTCTGGTTTCTCTACTTAAATCACCGGAAAGCTGTGTAATGTTCTATACTCAGGTTTTGCTTTTCAAATTACACAGGAAATGCACATAGACATAGGTCATAGACAGGAGACAAATGAAAAAATACAGATAAGCCAGGGTGTTTTTATTTATTTATTTTTATTTAAAAAAATCATTTATTTATTTATTTATTATTATTATTTAAATTTTATTTTTATATTCCCCATACAATTACAACCCCCTTATTTTGACCCCGAGCCCTCCTTTCTGTGCCCTCCCCCCATAGAGTGTCTCTGGTTCATAGTTGTTTGTTGATTTTGATATTTTCTTTCTTATAGTTATTCTTTTTCCTGTTCCCTTATTTAAGTTTTCTAGATTCCTGCTATGAGTGAGACCATCCGGTATTTTTCTTTTTCTTTCTAAGCCAGAGTGTTTTTAAACCTCTACTAGCCCCACTATGCAGAAAAAGCTAGCCTCCTCTGTTTCATATCCATCCATCTGGACCTACATACAGAAAAATAAGTTTAATGGGGAGAATACATGGTTTTTAAAATAATTCTCTTAAAAATGCTGCATGAACATCTTTCCTAAGTCACTACATTGATAGCTACATCATACTTTGCAATGCTTGCCTAGTGTTCTGTTGTATAGACTATTTATTCAATTCCTATTTGTGGACGTTTATTTGGTTTCCTATTTTCGGCTATTCTAAACAACTTTGCAAAGAACATCCTTATATGTACATTTTAGTGCAACTTTCCAGTGCTTTGGATACATTCTTGGAGGTGAAATTACAAGCCAAAAGATAATTAAAACAATAAACATGTGTAGAGCTTTTAACTCATGCCAGGTACTATACTTAGCATTTTGCATATATGAACTCATTTAATCCTCATGTCATCTCTATGAGAAAAAAAGAAACAACTGTTGCTACCTCCATTTTAAAGAAAGTTTAAGGGACTAACTCAAGGTCACACAGCTAATAAGACATGGAGCTGATATCTGATCCCAGGCGGTCTGGTGAAGGGATCCAGAATACCCCACTCCAAAATTTGCCACTTTGGTATAAGGATTGTTTTGAGTTGAAGGCAGTTGAGAACCAACAGATGTAGGAAAGTTCTTTGTTCTCCCCTTATCCACCTAAGAGCAGGGCATATTTCCCTTGTCGAAAGTGACATACATGCCCCCCTACTCCAGTACCAGGAATGAGGAGAGTGACTCTTGTCGCCAGAGAGCCAGCACCAAGAGGAGTCTGCATAGACTTACTAGACTAACCTTTATCTTCCATTAGTTTCCCTGCTGTATTTCCTAGTCACTTTTCCATGATTTCTTGACCCCAGAAGCCCAAACACCTTTCCTTTTTCTTATCAATTCTCTTCAATGTATCACCCTTTGTTAAAATGGTATATAAGTTCCCAAGTCGAACTACTATTTTTGGGTTCTCACTTCTTTTCTGTGAAGCCCCCATGCATATAAACATTTTAAAATAAAATTTGTATGCCTTTTCTCCTGTTAATCTAATTCACAGGCATCTGTCACTGAACCTAAGGGGGTAGAAGAGGAGATTTTTCCTGTCCTGCAACAGCTCAAGAGTCTATGTGGATCCCTACCACTATGTATAAGTGCTTATTTTATTTTTTAAAAGATTTATTTATTTACACATACAAGAACTGGGGTGTAGGCCAGAGGTTTTGGGGGTGAGATGAGAAGATTCACCAGAGACAGAGTGGGGAACAGAACAGGCAGATCGACTGAAATACACTGCTGAGGGGAGCAGCGGGCGAGTCACGAGAGGTCTGCTGTGCCCTGTGGGTAGCTCCCTGGCCGGCCAGGAATCGAACTCATGTTGCAGTGGCTGTGCAGGCATGGCTTGATAACACTGTGTTTTTAACCCCGGTGCCACCAGGCAGGCCCAAGTGCTTATTTTAAGTAAGTGAGACAGCTTAGGAAAAAGAAATTGCTAACTGGTAGGATGAGTTGCCTCAAGTCCTGTTTGAACAAGTGGACTAAATCATGGACTTGCCAGTCTGACCCACCACACTGACCATGAGAGCCTTAGGTCCTGACTAATGATTCTTTCACAGTTTCTCAGAGGGAGAAAGTTGAGAGCCCACACCGTAGTTGGAATGTAACCCATCGGTGCATGCGCATGCGTGGCCCAACTGAGATGCTGCTCTCCTCCCTACCTCAGGGACTCACCCTTAAAATATTTCTCCCTAACTCCCCTCAGAGAGCCAGGCTACATTCCTTCCCACTGGGCTCCCTCAAGCATGAGTATCTCTCACAAATTCTTGCCTGATTCATCTACACTAGTGCTCTCTGGTGATTTTTTTTCCTAGAGGGCAAAGGGCCTACTCTTTTGGGTCAAAGGCGCTGGAACATAAGTCCTTCCTTAACTTTCTCCAGAGTCAAATGGGAAGTGGTATTGGAAGACTATATGGATCTTTGCTTTTGTGTCTTTTATAAAGATATGGACAGTAATGTCTTAGTGTGTAATGCCAGGAAAAATTCCTGTCTTCACAGGCATCCTTACTGTCACAGAGGCTGTATTTCTTTGGGTCTTGCTTGGAAGGGAGCGCAGGACTAAGTTTTGTTCTCAGGTATAGCAGCTCTTCTTCATCTAGGTTCTGACTCCACCCACCCACCCTGCACTCCTGGCCTTTATCCTTTCCCCTTGGATATAGTACTTGTATCACATACAGACGCTTTTTTATTGTTATCATCATTACCCGGTTTTGAAAATAGGTGGATACAAATAAATATATGCGGGAAAATGAGGGGAAAATTCATTTAAATTATGTTTTCAGATCCTCATTGCTTTGTAATAACTTCTCAAGGTAAGGAAGGTGGAGTGCAGGCATTCAGAATGTTATCTTTTTAATTGTGCTTGCCAGCTTAATGATTTAAACAAAGCCCAAGGCTTATGGAGAAAAGGAACAATATGTAATTACCAGCAATCAGTTGACACACCCAAGACCCCCAGCATTCTCATTTTGAAAAGGAAACCAGCAAACTTAAAGAATAGAAACCACACACACACACACACACACACACACACACACACACACAACCTCCTTGTCCCTGATCCCTCATCTATTGATTCAATATAAGGATGAAAACAGTATTTATAATGGCTCCTCCTAAAGTATTCTCTCAGATTGGCCCATTTTTACCACCAGCAAAAGCTATAATTCTCAAAAAAAATTAGCAGGGGTTTACCTCTTGAGAAAGTTATGAGAGTTTGTTATATTTGTCAATGTGTGTTTTCTGATTTTTTTAAAATGAGCACTCAAATTGTGTCAAAGAAACAGTGAAGATACTTTTATGAGTTTTTATTATGGAAATTTTCAAATACATACAACACAAACATAGCATAATAAAATCCCATGTACCTATCACCCCATTTCTAGATTTTTTTTTTAACATTCCACTACTCTTCTGACAATTTTTATTTATTTGCAGAAATTTGACATGTGACTGTGTAAATTTAAATGTACAAAAATATTCTAGCATTCTTGTTTTATCTTTATCTCTACCTACTCCCCAACCCTCCATTCAACTGTTTCCATTTTTTATGATTCTTTTCTTTGAGACAAAAATAGTATTAGAAAGTATAAATATTAGCTATACAGTTTTGACAAGGTATGTACCCATGTGACCCATTCCTAACATCTCCAAAGAAAGTTCCATCTCCAAAGAAAGTTCTCTCATGTCCTTCCCAGTCACCCATGTTGGCAATCACTATTTATCATTATTGTCACTATCACTATTATTATTATTGAGGTAATGTTGGTTTACACACTGTATATAATTCAGAGGTACAGATCACATCTTGTCAGAGATATGTTACCACACTACACCCACCCATGACCAAGGTGCCCATAGACCTACCTCATAGTTCACTGGGTATCTTCCAAACTTTGCTCTCTACCCCCCACCCCACCACGTAACTTTAATTCTACAGTCAGATTTCTAGGGTTTATTTTTGGTTTGGTTTTGTCTGAATGATCCTTTGTCTTTGTTTCTCTCTATTCTACATATGAGTGAAACCTTTGATATTTGCCTTGGATGGAACTGGAGGGGATTATGCTAAATAAAATAAGTCAGAAGGAAAAAGGTAGTCACTATTCTTATTTTTTTTCAGCTGGGATTAATATTTTCTGTCCTAGAATGTCAAACATATATGGAATCATGCAGTATGTATTCTTTGGTGCACATCAGCATTTTCTTTGAGCTTTATTCACAAGTTGCATGTAACAACCTTTCGTTCCTTTTTATTGCTAAATAGTATTCCATCATATGAATATGCATGAGCTTATTAATTCTCTTGTTGATGGACATTTCAGTTACTGTAGCATACTGCTCTTGGGAATAAAACTGTCAAGAACATTCTTGTGTAACCAGCCTTTTGCAGACCTGTTTTCATTTCTCTTAGATAAGTAGTGATATTTCATTGTGATTTTAATTTGCATTTCCCTGACAGCTAACAATGTTGAATACTTTTTCATGTGACTGTTTTTCATCCATATATATTCCTTCATGAAATGTCTGCTCAAGTCTCTTGTACATTTTAATTGGGTTGTTTGTCTTTTGATGTTGACTCGTAGGTGCTGTTTATAGATTCTAAATATAAGTCCTTTGCCAACATTTGTGAATATCTTTTTCTTGGTCTGTGGCTTTTATTTTCTTAATGGAATCTTTGAAGAGGTTTATATTTATCAAAGTCTGAGTTTTTTCAGATTTTCTATTTCATCTGTGTCAGTTTGGAACAATAATTTTTAAAGGAATTTTTCCATATTCTCTCTTAAATTGTCAAATTTATTGGCACACTGTTGTTCCTAATATTACCTTATTATAATTTTGATAGGAGGATCTCTATTTCATCCTGTTATTAATGATTCATGCTTTATGTCTCTTGATTAATCTAGCTGAGGTTTATCCATTTTTTCAAAGTACATTTTTGTTTAAAAAAGTTCACAATCATTTGTTCCTATTTCAGCTGAACCTTTATTATTTCCTTCCTTCCTTTGACTTTGGGTTTAATTTGATCTTTTTCTAGCTTCTTAAGGTGAAACTTGCCATAAGGGGATTATAGAGGTGGGAGCTGCTTCCTGTAGTTACTAGTAACTGGGTTACTTCAGGGTCCTGTTTTTGTTCTTTTAGTCTTCCAAACAGCTGTGAGACGGGCTCTCCGTATGAACTTCCTTCTGTTGGGAATAGCTAATATGATTTTGGTTATCCTGATCAGACTTGATCGTTACACATATACACTAGCACCTCTCCAAGTGCATTCCAAATAAACATTGGTCCTATGCAAAGCTCATGGGTTCTCTGGTCCAATGAGTTTGGAAAAATGTTACATAGAAGTTCTTCCCCTTTGAAGATTCTCCGTGCATATTGCATGTTGAATGAATTCCTGTTGAATTGAATATTCCTTCCACTCACATCCCTGGCTCCCCGACATCAGGTTTAATCAGACAACCTGATTTGGCTAATTACTCACTTTGGGTAGAATCCTGGGTCCGTTCCTAGTGTAGACCTTAAAAGGTATTGTACAATTCTACTTGTTCCTCTGGTGACTTTTTACCTCTGAGAAGATTGTGCCCCAGGTAACCACTCTAGCCAGCTTCAGAGCCAAGTGGAAAAACTTGAACTCAACACCCATCCACTGGCAGAACTACCCTATCAAACCTATAGACTTGTGAGCAAGAAACAAACGCTCACTGCTGCAGCCACTGTGATTCTGTGGTGGTGCTTATGCAGCAAAAGCTGATTAATGCAAACTTCCAGGCAGCCCTGCCACAAACATAGCTAGCATTGTTGAGCTTTTCATTTCCCCAAACTTACTTGATCATAGAACTTTATTTTATTCTACAGAAAGCACTTTGGGAAATCATGATATAAATAAACTACTTGATAGTGATTATACTCAAATCAAGTTATTAGAATTTAATTTTGAAAAGAGGCACTCCTTGTAAGAGGATTCATTACCTAATCATTAGGGTCATCTACTTCTTAAGTTTCTGGGAAGTATACCAAAAAGACTGCCTAAGATTTGTCATTTTATTATTAATTATGCCTACTACTGTTTGTCTTGAGGGCATCTGCTTAATCAGATATTCTTAGGAAACTTGGAAAAACTGAAATATTAGTTTCAACATACTTTGAACTGAAAGTTCAGCACTGCTGATTAACACATTCATTTTATGGAAAATTTACACCATGTAACCTAACTGGCAAAATCAGCCCTCATTGTCATCCCAATCAACCAAATTAAACTTAATTTCTATTAAAAAGAGACTGGCTTCAAAATTCATAGGAATGATAATACGCATTCCCAAGACATTTATTTGCATGTAACTTAAAAACTAGCAGAGTCTTGCCATGAATTTGCCCCTTGCGTGAAATAAGATGTCTTCACTTTCATGATTTCGGTCTACCCTCACTTTGCTTTGCCCAAAGGGACTTTCCCTCAGGGAAGACTGAGGTTGAAATGTGAGGCTATTAAATGGAAAGTGTCATCCTTGCCACTGCCTTGCTTTATGAGGTACGGGAGGTGAGAACTTGGGATTTCTTCTGCAATGTGGGCCCAAAGTCATTTGGAAGGGGAGGGAGGGAGGGGGGCTGGAACCTTGCTGCTCAGAGGCTTAACCTCAGAGCAAATAGTTTTAGAAAAAAGATTCATCCAGTCTGGGAACAAATTCCTAAAAACTGTATGCCGGGACCCCTTGAAAAATTCCCTAAGGGAGGGCAAGCAACACCCAGTTAAAAGTATCATGCTAACATGGATGGAGCTGGAAGGGATCATGCTCAGCGAAATAAGCCAGAAAGAAAAAGAAAAATACCGGATGGTCTCACTCATAGCAGGAATCTAGAAAACCTAAATAAGGGACCAGGAAAATGAATAACTATAAGAAAGTGAAAATCAAAATCAACAAACAACTATGAACCAGAGACACTCTATGGGGGGTAGGGGGCGGGGAAAGGAGAGATTGGGGTCAAAATAAGGGGGTTGCAATTGTATGGGGAATATAAAAATAAAATTAAAAAGTATCATGCTATTAAAATACAATCATGTCAAAAAATTTTTTCAAGATGAGGATCCATTTTTCTTAACCAAACATTCTATTTTTACTTTTAAAAAGAGAGACAAATAATTTTTTAAAGATAATTTATTGTTAAATGAAACAGTCACAAAGCAAAATGGAGTGGGACAGATATCAAAGGCGAATTTTAAAAATAGTTTGTCAAATACTATTCTGGATTTTCTATAGTTAGAAACAGGAAAAGTGTCAAATGAAGGTATTCATTCTTTTTAAAAGGTCTGTGACTTGAAAACAACTTTTCTCTGAAAGGACAAATCCTCCTTACTACTCTATGAAAGTCATAATTTAAGAAACTGAGAAATCTTTTTAATTAATAAGTAAACTGTATCTCCCAGACATGCTTAGGAATGTTACTGACTTGAATCCACCACTGAGCCATGTCATTTGATCCACCCTAAAGTGTCCCATTGTGTCTTCACCTGCTTCCTTTTCTGTACCTCTCAGCTAAGCAGGTTTGGAGAAAAAGAAAGGCTACGAAAGAACTACAGCTGGTTCCCTAGTGAATAACTTAAAACAAAGCCTGCTTTTCCATTTACATTACAAATTCACAATCGCTCACTTACACTTACTTGACTGATCTATTTCAGAGTCTCCCCATGCCTAGAATGATTTACCTGAACTTGACCCAGTCCCCCTAAACCAAAACAATCTCATGATCATTGCTATGTTCAACATGTTATGTTTAAAGGTCATGTTTTCCCACAGTCTCTCCCACCCAGCTGCCCACAATACTGTTCTGAATTCATTCAAGTGTCCCCATGTGGCCAGAGCAAAACCTTGAGAATTCTCTTCACATAATTTAAAAATTACATTTGCCACTTAAAGGACAAGATCACGAAATCAGAGAAAAATCCATTTTTATCAGTAAATGCTGTGCAATTTACTCTTTCGCAGCGTGATGACTGGGACTACAGGGTTCCTGTCTGCAGGGGTCCCTGCTGAGCTTTCCTCTGGCAAATTCAGGACCTTCAAGTTAACGGCAGGCTCCACCAAGAGGATGCATCCAATCAGGGGCATGGCAGACACAGGTGTTGTTAAATCTGAAGAGGACACCAGGCAATTTGACACCCTAGGTCTCCAATGACTTGAAATGAGGGTGATTATCATCACACCTGCTCTCTTCCTTGGTCCCTGCTGCGGCTCCAGGATACCCACAGAGCTATTGATTCTGCTTTCAGGACAGATGGAAACTATCAACAGAAACCCAGAAATACAGCGGGAGTTCATGCTCATAATATTCTATACCTTTGAGCACTTGACATAATTTGGATATATTCGAAGGAAATCTCCAGTTTGTTCTTTGCAATATTGGAAGAGAAAAAACCATTTGCGACACTTCTGCTCAAAACCCCCATGGACAGGCAGGAGAGAGAAGGGTCAGGGGGCCAAGGACTGAAGCTCGGAGGTGCCCAGCCACCACCCCCTCCTGGTTTCTGCAGCTGGCTCAGTGAATTCACATAGTTTCTTTAATTCACACCCAGCGCTGTGATTGTAACTTACACTAAAATGAACACTTAAAAGAAACATACACCATCACGACAGGGCCCAGGAGCACAGTCAGACTCGTGGCATCACGCTCTGTTCTGAATTCCCCTTGGCCTAACCTGGGGCAGGAGCGGGGAGGCAGACTTCCTTGCTTTCTTAGCTTACACCTAAGGCACTGGCAGAATCCCTCCTTGATGAGGACACGCTCCAAGCCTTAAGGAGGAGGCCACCCAGAGTCCTTGGGGAGGACACTCATCCTAATGAGCCAGATCACCAGAAACATCTGTACCTGCCTTCTCCCAGCTGACATCAAGTCCCAGGTGTGATCATCAGTCCTCGTGGTGAGTGAACCCCCACCTCGGAGTCCCCAAAGTGTTTTTCCAAAGCATCCTTTTAAAATGCTGGTTTTCTCAAAAGGGCCCTCACTGTTTTGTTTTATGAAAATTAAAAAAAAAAAAAGTAGGAAAGAATTTGGAAACCCCAAAATACATATCAGGAGAGTTACACAAGCCTGTGGAGACATGACCAAATGCCAAGGGTGTGAAGGGCTTTGCCAGAGCCCGAGCTCCCCAACCTTGCAGCTGGGGGAGGAAGCCGAACAGAAGCCAATGCTCCCAACTCAACTGGCGCTGACCTGACCCTCCTGAGGCGGCCAGAACAGGGTGACCCTTTTCTTTCTTTCTTTTTTAAAAGGCATCTTCTGTTGTGGTTTGGGGTTTTTTGATATCGTGAAAAAGATTTAGAGAATTCCAAGAGTTTTGGTTAACAGGAAATACAAATGGAAATGGAAATAAAAAATGGAATGGAACTCAACTCTCCACAGATTGAACCCATATGGGTGTCACAGCTTGCTGAATTAGCACCACTTTCGAGCAGTGAAGACACCCGGGGCTGAAATTTCTGAAAACTCACTTTTTCCATCCCAGAGACTTTTTCCACGCTCTTCCTCAGATACACTGACCAATGGAAAAAGAGCTCTCCCTCCCTATTTCAAGTCGTGGCCATTTTCCTTTTGCTCCAGTCATCTTTGTATTTTCTCATCGAATTGAGACTCTGGGGAAACTATACAGCAGCAAACTAGGACATATGCTCCTTTCAAAAACAATTTGAACAATATTTTAAAACCCAAATTCTCTCAAGAATTAGAAGATGCCAGGACATTTGCTGTCCTTCCCCGGGCCGGGTAGAGGTATCGCGAGGCTGGCCTCCCCTGGGCTGGACGGAGTGGGCACTCATCCTCAGCACTCATCCGAGAGGTAATCGCTGCCAGGGCACTCCGCGGCTTCCAGCTCCACGCTGGACAGGAACCTCCTCAGCGTCTTGCGGCAGTTGTAATCCAGGGTGGTGGTGTAGACGGTCTTGGGGTACTTGGGGTAGACGATGGTGGTGCTGAGAAAGCGCGTGGGCTTGTGGCGGGGCTCAAAGCGCACCTCGGCCTTGTAGTTGCGCCACGTGCAATTGGGGATGCAGGTGACCGTCTGGCTACAGGAGGCCACGGCCAGGCCCAGGGGCAGGTGGACATCGTCGATGAAGTGCCGCTCTGAGTCGTACTTGACTGAGGAAGTGTACCTGGGGGGGAGGGTAAGACATAAGGCAGCATGAAGCTGCTCCTCTGGGCTGGGGGCGCGGGGGTCCCTACTGTGACCTTGAACCCCTGGTGGGATGCACACCCAGAGATGCGGCTATTCTAGTGAGATGCAGCAAAGTTGATGAAGCACTTACTGTGTAGCACTATGCTAAGCATTTACCTACAGGGTGCAATTTAATCAGCCCAACAACCTGGGAAAGGACATTCAGGTGCAGGGGTGAAGGCGGCAGTGGGAGGGAGAGGTGCAGAAGGGATTGAAACGCAGGTGCGCACACTTTGCAAGGTTTACCCGGCACTCACGGTTTCTCATTACAGGCAGCAGCCCCTGGAGTCTACCCCCACTTACTTGAGCTATGAGGCCTTGGTCAAGTTACTTAACTTTCCCAAACCTCCGCGTCCTCTTTCTGTAAGAGATGCCCAATGGTAACTGGGTGGCGTGTTAAAACATACCAAGTGTTGTCTGGGTGACTTATATACCAAGGTGCATTCTACTGCTCCACTAGGGGTGAACTCCTTTTCTGTCCCTTTAAGTGAAATCAATTCCTTATTGAGAGGAAGAAGAAACCCAGAATCTTGGACGCTGGTTCTGAAAGCTCAGTTACACTATATACTAGCTATTGGCCCACTTTGGCCTTCGGTTTGAAGACTCCTCAAACCCAGGGACTCCAAGATCTGATCTTATCAATCAAAGCACATTACAAACCTGATTTCTATAAAATAAATAAACATCCATGTTCCTCAGCAGCTAATTTCTTTTAAGTCCTTCTTTGGTAATAAGGGAGCTAATTAAAATTATTTTTTTAATTGAAATAACGTTGCATGCTATGTAAGTTTCAGGTGTGCATCATTATAAGTCAGTGTCTGTCTATACTACATTAAGTTCACCTCTGGTAGTTAATTTTTTAAATGGAAACAAAGCATTAATTCATTTTGCTGTGTAATTAATTACTGCAGCTTCATGGATAACCAAGGATGTCCCAGCATCACACATAGACACGCGTAACAGTGCTGCTCCGACCCTCTGGTCGGGGAGTGAAATCCACATTCTTTCAACAAATCAGACAGAAACATCTATTCTACTTGGGGAAGGAGGTAAGAGGTTGGTGGAAGCTAATGTCATGAAGTCATGGCTCCATTTTGTTCAAAATACAAGCTCCACAGGAATAAAAGTCTCAACTGCTCACCTCTAAACTGCAGAGCCTCCTTTGTTCCGCGTCAAAGGGCCCTTTGTGTTAAGGCAACTGAAACTCTAGATATAAAACCACCAGTTACCAAAAGTAAAATTCCTTTCTCTAAAAAGACCTATCTTTAACAGAGCCTCTCAGTGATTCTGCGGGTTGATAATCCCGGAGGAGATAAATTCCCAGAGGAAGAACAGTACTTGCCATGAAATTGCATGAGACAAGGTTACAGCACCTCTAAGCAGGGTGGGGGAAGGGAGGGGAATGGGGGAGCAGCTTCTGGAAAGTGGAACTGGTTTATAACAAAATCTTAAACATCTGATATATGAAGTGTAAAAAGCAAGTTGCAGGACTTTATATATATATATATATATATAATATGATCTTTTTATTTCTAAAAGTGTATATAGTTGATTGGTTAGAATGCAGAAATTAGTTCAAAAATGTACCCACTGATCACCAGTCATTGGCATACTTATATAATTAAAAAAAAAAGCATCAGTTTCTGGAATGAACAATGAAAAACTAAAATCAGGACCTCCTTGATTTACCTTACTTCCGTTGGTGGTAAGGGGTCAAACTCCACTCCTTCGCCAAAGGACAGGGGGCATAACCTTGGCGAGCAGCCCGGCGCCAGGGGGTTGGGGAGAGATGCTGGATTCTGCAAGGATGGAGAACACAGACCATGTTTCAATCCCCCATAGAAGAACTTGGCTCTGAGTCTGCAGCTGATGGCCCAACTGGGATTCCTGTCCATCTCCTAAGAAGGATGCCAGAGAAAGGCTGGCTGACCCACAGCGCGAGATGAACACTGGAGCAGTCAAAGGTTTGGGTTCGAATCCTAGGCCTGTCACGGATGCGCCTTCAGAATAGTCACATCACATGCCCTCTGACCTGATCTGCATGCCCAGTGGGTGTCCCCTTCCATTGCTGAGGTTTTGTGAAAGGCTACAAAGTGGAAACAAATGCCAGCTCAGCACCATGACTGTGGGGCTGCTGTACCATCCAGCAGCAAGGCAGTGAGAAACCTCCATGAACCCTCAATTATGCGCCCCCAGCCCTGTCATTGTCTCAGCAATACTTTAGAAAAGGCCAAAACAAACAAACAAAAAATGCTACCAGGGATTTTTTTTTTTTAAAGAACATTCAGTCTCACTTCCCCCAACTCAACTGCCTCTGAGACCCCCACATCAACTCCCAGCCAAGATGGAGGCAGCTGTAGGATGAACGCCAACCATTTCTCTAGTCACCTTCCACTATGCAGAAAACCCAAAGAACCAGAGCCCAGCACGCCTAGGGGCTGTCTTCCAGCCTGTGGATTCCTCACACAGCCTGAGCTAGACACTGTTCCACCCTAGACACAGGTGCTAGTTTCACCCTGTTTGACTGGAATCGGGGCTTCTGCGTTAAGCACGCAAAGGCAGATCAGAGTTTGAACTTAGCAGCCCTGTGGGTCCCTGGGTTTACTCAAGACCTCTCATTTCCTTTGCCCAATTTGAGATAAGGACCCACACTTGGGCCTGGGCGTGGAGGTGGAAGCCCCACCCCTAGTTCTTCAAAGACAAACATTTCTAGAAGATTGACTTGAAGCTTAAGTTACCAGGATAAGGTATCAGTTGGGGGTGTAGGGTGGAAATGCAAAAGCCGGAGGGGACCAGGTTAGGTCAGGGAGAGACAGTGTCCAGCGGGTCAGGCTGCTGAACTTGAGTGAAGAGTTTGGTAAGCCCGCCTGGGGGAGGGACTGTGGCTAGAACCAGGGTCAGTAGATGGGGGAGGGGATAAGGTGTGAGACTGCTCGCTGCTGCAGAGTTTTTGGAAATAGCCCCCAAGCAGTGATAGTAGGGTCTGCTCTGTCCCCAGAACCTGCTGCCAGACACTCTCCAACCTCAGGGGGCACCTTCCCGGAAGTCCTGGGGGCTGAGGATGACAAGCCACCCAAGGGAGGCAGGCAACTCTCCAACACTCACACTACAGCTTTCCTCCAGGTGTTCACACAAGCACACGTTTCTTTTGCCCTTGCCTTCTCTGCTCCCCCATCCTGCCCACCCACAGGCACTCCCTGAGAATCCACCTTGCTTCAGCTGCAGACTGGGGGTGGAGTCTGGCAGCAGGAGTTATAACAGATGCCTGAGCTAGGTGACACCAGGGAATGGGGGCTGAGCCAAGAACTCTGTCTGGCTCTGGGAAGCATCCAGGAAAGTTTCCCAGAGAAGGTGACAAGTTAGGCATTAAAGGGCCAGCAGGGCTTTGACAGGTGGAAACCTACTGGGTGTTGGGAGAGTTGGGAAGGGATAAGCTTAGACGGGAAAAGGCCTGCAAGGTGGAGGGAGCATCATCAGAGGCCCCGATGTGTGTATTTATCTGAGGTCAGGGGATGTGGAAGATGAGGCTAGAAAGGGTCAGATGATGAGGCTCTGAGGGTGGAGTTGAAGCCAAGGGCTGCCTTCCAATGGAAACGAGAAAATGCCCTGATGTAGAGACAGGGCCAGTGGGTCAAGAATTCCCCAAGCCACCACAGCTTCAGTGGGTCCTCAAGGAGCAGCAGCAGCCATGACTACTTCACCCTACCCAGGGGAGAGGGCTCCACATCCTCAGGGGGAGGGGCACTAAGAGCTCCACTTTGAGCTTTGACTGTAGGCAGGATGTGGCCTTGCCGGAGTTCTAGGTAAAGGCAATTGATGCAATGGCTTCTGGGAGCTTCCTAAGGCAAGAGACTTGGAGTTTTTTCTTTAAATATTTTTAAATACAATGAAAGATTCGTGTTTTGTGTGGTTTTTTTTTTTTTTGAAAGTTTCTACCCACCTACAGGCCTCCGACTTATCTTGTGGCAGACATGGGTTAGGTGACAGGCCATGGGGAACCACTGGGAGGCCTGGGGTTCATGGGGTGACTCTTCTTAAAAGGTCCCCTCCAAGGCCATCAGCACGCTTCCCAAAGGCTGTCCCCATTTGCTCTCGGAATGGGGGAGCCCTCTCCCTAAGAGGGAGCAAGGAGGAGGCAAGCCAACGGGAGGGTGGAGAGGTGGGTGCCTGGCCCGCAGTAGGGGGAAGGCTGGGGTTTCCTCTCGGGGTCCCCAAGCCCCACTAGTCAGGCCAGGGCAGGAATGTAGCCTAGTCGCAGGCTGGCAGCCCCGGGGGCCGCCACCCCGAAGGGAGGAGGCGGCGGCTCGCCTCTCCCGGGGCTCCCGCGCCTCCCAGGCGATGACAATTTTCCAGCCACCGGCTCCAGCTGGCCAGGCTCTCGCCGCGCTCCCGCCCCGGGCTCCCGGCGATGGCCACGCTGTCCCGACAGGCGGGGGGCGACGCCGACAGCGCACCCCAGGCGAGTGGGCACGACCGGGGCGAGTGGGGTGTCCCGGGGCCGGGCGAGTGGGGTGTCCCGGGGCCGGGCCGCGGGTGGGGTCCAGAGGGAAGGGGTCGGGGCGAGGCTACTCACCGGGACCACGGGAGTCGCCGCCGCGTCGGGCTCCAGCGCCCCGGGGGCTGGCGCGCGTTCCCCGCCGCCGCCGCTGCCCGCGGCCGCCGCGAGCCCCCAGTGGCTGGGGCTGGGGCTGGGGGGCAGCCCCGAGTCCGGACTGTCCAGGACGCCGTCGCCCTTCTTCTTCGTGTCCACGAGCTCGGGCACATCCTGCAGGCTCAGGCGGCCCACCATGGCTGCGCGCGCGGCGGGGCCGGGGGCCGCGGGCGAGCGAGGGGCGCAGGGGCGCAGACGCGGGCCGGGGCCGCTGCCCGCCCCGCCGCCCTCCCTGCCCGCCGCCCGCGCGCAGTTCGGGTCTCGCCAGCGGCCGCGCTCCAGGGCTCCGCCCCGCCCCGCCCCGCCCCGCCCCGCCCCGCCGGGCCGCCCCGCGGCGGCGGTGCCTCGAGGCCGGCCGCCAGGGGCCGCTGCGCTCTCGCCCTGCGCCGCCCGCGCCGCGCTCTGCCCGCCGCCCAGCCCGACCCGGGCGGACGGTCGCAGCGCGCCGGGGCGCCGGGGCGCCTTCTCCGCGGGAGGGAAAGACGCCCCCGGCCTCTTCCCGGCTCCGCCCCGCTATAGGTGAACGACCGGGACCGTGCGCGCACCGAGTCCCCGAAGGCTTCCTGGGCCCGCGCCCTGGGCCGGCAGCGCCCCGCCGGCGCGCATCCCGTGCGCCCTGGCGGCTGAGGGGAGCCCAAGTAGAGCCCCTGCCTGCAGAGGCCTGGGGAGCCGGCCGAACCCAAGCGAGCCAACAACTGGAAATTATTAATAGTTAATGTGCTTCGTATGGCTCCAGCCGCCTCTTGGCTCAGCAGGGCGGGCTCTTGGTCTGCTCTGGCTCTTATTTCTGCCTGGGAGGAAAAGAGCGCCTACTTAGTTTATCCTCTGGGGACGCCAGGGGGGACCATCGCTGCCTCCCCTTGGTGCTCAGCCGCTCAGCCCAACAGGCTGACCACACTGGGAAGCGAAGTTCTGCCGTGGTGCAGACGCGGACCTCGACGAGGGGGAGAAGCTCAGCAGGCTGGCCACCGGGCGGATGTCTGAAGGGCCAGGGGCTCGCCGGTGGGGGCCTCAGCTATTCACTCATAGGTGTTTCCTTCTAAAAACCCGACTGGGGATTTCTCCTCTCCTCTCGTTGGACAGAGAAGCCCTGTTGGAGTGGAAACTCGTTTCTGCGGCTGCAGCTGTACAAGGGGACTCTTCTCAAATCTAGTACTTTTTCTCACAGAGACGCCATGATTATCACAAGTATAGGAAGTCCCCATCCTGCCCTCCCCTCGGGGTTGCTGATGGATGTTGAGCCAAAGGCCTTGAGTTGGAGCTGTGCCCAGACCTGCCTGGTAGATGCCCTCTGCTCAGGGACTTCCCTGGCCAGGTGACAGGAGGGCTCCACACCAGGCCCATGAGGGCAACGTGGTCTATGTCCCTGCACAAACAAAAGATACTTCTCTTGCTTGGGACCTGTCAAAGGCAGAAATTTGGAGTGGGTAGATGTTAGAGATCTGCTGGCAAAGGTCAGCCCTCCTACCCTTCCAAGTAATGAAAACAGAGAAGGCACTTGATTTACCCCAAGTCACACAGCTGGTATAAGGCAGCTTGCTGTGATGTCTACAGTCATCCCCTCCAGAGGTACCTCCCGGGTGCTGGGAGGGCGTTCATTTAGTGCTTATGGGAACAGGATCAAAGATCCTGGATCAATTGTTAGTGCAAGAACATGCTGTGAGGAGCGGGTCTTCAAAGCTGGACCAACTACACAACTGTGCCTCCTTACCCTGCTGATCACACCATCTGCATAGGCCAGGCTGCCCCTAGGCAGGGCATCACAGGAAGATTCCAAATGTTTTCTGGGGCTGTGGAAAGGCTATATGTTGGCAGTGGGAGGACTTGGCACCCTGGAGGGAACTGCCCACCAGCATTCCCAGGCAGGTCCTGAGAACTCTTTCCTAAACCTGATCAAGTTGGGAAAGGTGTCCAGGAAGATGGTGAGGAGATAGTGGCCTTGAAGGTCATCAGCCTGGATGAGATGGAGGAAGAGACAGGAAATTCAGCATGCTAGGTCTGTGCTGAGCTTTCTCCACTGAAGTGTGGATTGTTGTAAAGCACCTAACAAGGGCTCTTGATCTGGACCTGATAAAATCTGAAGACTGGGGAAAGGCTGAAGTTGCCACCTTCTGAGGGGAATTCTGAAGGGCCTAGATTCTCTCTGGAGACACCACAGCTGCCATGGCGAGTGAGGGGGTGTGAAGCTGCCTGCTATGGAGGATCCAGGCAGAGCACTTTCAAGACACCCTTTCCCTCCCTGGCACTAGGATCATCAAGCAGTGGGTAGGATTCCACATGAGCATCTCAGCCATCAAAATGGAGCTGGGAAGCATCCCATATGCTGACCTCTATCCTATGAGAGCTGTCTGATTCCCAAGAACACCCACTCCCCAACTCCACAGGGGCATCTGGGCAAACCCTAGAGACTGGGCAGGACTTTCTGAACCCACAGAGCACCTTCAGGTCTCAGGCCAACTGCCAAGATGCTCCTGAATCATAATAAGACCACCCACCAACCTCCTTCGTTACAGAGGAGCTCAGCATGGACATATATACTAGAAACTGGTGGGGCTTGAGGCGTAATCTAGCTCTGGGACCTGACATTGCAGGAGAGCAGTGGGGGAGACCATAGCCCTATACCATTCAGATTCCCCTGACCACTCAGGTGCCTCCTCCCCCCATAAGCTGTACCAAAGTCTGCCCCTGCATGGGTCCCAGAATTCTGTCGGGCCAATCAAAAGACAGGGGCACCAGGCTTGTTCACACTTGTCCACATTGTCTTTGAAGGACTCAAAGATAAGCCTGAGCAGACTGGAAGCCCGAGGGTTCTGAGGATATCCGGAGAGCCCCTTCGCACCTGGCCCAGGCATCTCGCCTCTCTGAGAACTCCTGGCATTCCTGGTGGAGACAAGCAGAGGTGTTCTTCCAACAGAAACCAGCCAACTTCAACCTACCTGAGTCCTCTGGGTGGGAGAGCTGGGGGATCGCCTCTGCAACCGCATGGGTGTCATGCAGTCAGAACCTAGAAGTCAGCTGTATTTTCTCAGCCCCGAGCAATGAGTTCACACTACAAATCTACAGTCCTCCTTTGGAAGAGCCTCAGCCTGAGCTCATCATGGGCCTATATCTTATTCCCAATTGTTTTCCAAAAGACATTTCTTTAAAACGCTAATCAAAGCTTGGGAAAGACAATGGCTTCCACCTTTACTAGCTCCTGGTCCCGCTCTCAAGACAAGCCTTCTTTCATGGAGCAGCTGGTTCCACATAGAAATCAGGGATGAGTTACACAAAACCAAATGAGCATGGCCCAGTGAGACCACAGAGTCTGCATAAAGAGTGGCCTCTTCTCAAAGCTGTCCTTTCAAAGCAGGCCCTCATCCTCCTGCCTGGATCGCAGAGACTGGTGTCCTCACAGGACTTGGCTTCTGGCCTGAGGCCTTTCCCAGCTGGGTCTGAGGAATAAAAGCTGCCTAGCAATGAATGCCAAGCCTGCGTTTTCCCTTTTTCTGCACTGAATTAAGCTGATGCCTGAACAGGAGTTGAGTCAGACAAGAACAGGGCAAGACCCCCACAACGGCTGCTGCTTATTATTTTGGTACAGCTTGTCTTCAGTAACCCCACTTAGACAGCAGATTTAAAACCCTGCTGGTCCCAGTGTGCTGGCTCTGCCCCGGGCCGTGGCACCTGGCAGTCTCAGCCCTGGAGCCCGCGTGCTCTGTAGATTTGCCTTCTTGATGAATCAGGTCCTTTCCTTCATTTGCACCTGTGTCCACCACAGTGCTTTAAAAAAATAGAACTTTATTTGGTTTCCTCAGTATTTTAAGACCAGGGTTATAGTTTTCAAAAACATTGAAAGGGGCCTGCCATATTCAATAAAGAACTGAATTTAAGACATACTTGGACATAACACAGCCCATAGGAGTGGGTGCATGCGCATCATTGAGGTCATTCAGAACCCCAAGCCCCTGGGGCCCACAAAGGTGGCAAGACCCAGACAGAGACAAGGGATGCCAAAGTCTGGTGTGGCTGGCCCCTTCTCTGATCTCTCAATTGGGAGACCACCAGGTCAGGTGCAGAGCTGGGATCTGGTAGAGCCCAGCTGGTGACAGGCTGATCCCTCCATGTGCAGATACTCACAACTCCTGCAAGGTAGAACCCCTCCCCCTCCCAGGCCTATCTGTAAGCTGAGACTATTCTCCCAAGGCTTCCCAGTTACACAGAAAAGAGCTGTGGCCTCTGCAAAATAAAACCCAGATGGGATTCTGCAAAGCTGGGGCATATGGTCTCCTTGGAACTGCATCAATACACTTGCACTCCTGGCTCTCTTCTGCGTATTCACACTGGACAAGCACTTGCAGCCCAGAAAAATAGCCTTTGTTTGAGCAATGCTGTTAAGACCCTGGGCTGCTGGGCTGAGAGGCATGACAGATAGAAGGGCGTGCTGTCATTATCCCCAGGAACAAATGGCTGGTCTGCGTGGTCTCTCCCCAAAGGCAGCTTCGGAGGCCATGGTGTTTCAAGTCCACCTGGGAATCCGTCCTGTAGGGGCTCTGTGGGAAGGGATGGAAAGTGGGCGTGCGTGGGGGTGGCCAATTGGTTCCACTGCGATGGTCTGACCTGCTGTGTCCTTCCTAGGAGCAGCAGCCCCAGAGTGCATTCCTCTCCCACCCCAAATTCAAAGCAGAATACGCACAGGCGGGAGGCAGCTGTGGTTTGCAGCTACGTACTGTTGGGAACTTCTGATACTTGCTGAAGACATTTACATGTCTTTGAAGACATGTTTTCCAGTTTTGAATCTTTACTGAAAATTAGCCAGGGGTGGGGGAAGAACTTGTGGTGAGTGGAGAGGTACCAAAGAAAAATTTTGCATCTCATTTTCTCAGGGCATATCGGCTTGGGTGGGGGTAGGGAGAGTGTTCACCTGAATTTTGCTAACTCTTGCCCCACACTTTTGCAGGACCCTCCAAGTCAGTGACATGTATTTTTGGAAATCCCTGAAGGTATCTTTCATACACACCGCTGCCTGCTATTAATTTTCTTTTCCTCTCCCTGCCCCCCAGCACCCCACCCAGCCTCTGGTTCTGCTAAGTTATGGTACGGTGCCCTTCCAGAGACTACCATCAGCCCCACCACGCACGAGAAGCTGGAGCCAGGCCACCATGGGTACCACTCTTCTGCCCTTTCCAGGCACAGTACCCAAAGCCCTGGATACTGTCTCCACACTGCTGGTGGAGAGAGG